CGCTAATTTCAACTGTAAAAATTTAACACATAGATAAATTCATGCTATAGAGAATCTTCTTATACCAATTAAGTTGATGGAATGTTGTTGAACGGAAACCGCGTTATAAGAGTACCGCGTTATAAGAGTACCGCGTTATAGGAGGGCCGTCGCAATTTTGGCACCGCGTTATATGGAAACCGTGTTATAAGAGTACCGCGTTGTAGGAGGGTTGACTGTATAACTTAAAAACGTAACAACGGACAAGAAGCAAATTCGTACCATATTTTTATACGAATTTAAATTAGGACGCAAAGTTGCGGAAACTGGCCGCAATATCAATCGTGTGTTCGGTGAAAGCACAACTAATGATTGTAACGTATAAAAAGTTATTTGTTAAACAAGCAAGTTTGGTAAATCGTAAATCGTATCTGAGATATCTTCAAATTAATAATCTTCTATTAGGAAATACGCTCAGTCAGCGATTCTTAGCACGACTTTGTTTACTTGTTTTATAAATATCTCAGTAATTGTTCGTTTTAGGTCCCACTTTGTATAATACCTTTTTACGCAAAATTTGACGATTTATCCGAATTCGAAAAAAAATATTAGACATTCCGTTTAAAAAACTGAAGATGACCCTAATATCTCGACAAAAGAGTAAGGTAATAAGAAACAGATTAGAGCACTGTATGCCCCCCTAGATACCATGCAACTTTTGTTTGAAACATTTTTTTCGTACAGCGAATAACTTACGAGTTATTTGAAGTCGTCATGTTAGGATGCTCACCTTGTATATGCATTAAGTTCAGAGGATTGTGATCTGAAAATGTCGAAATAATAAAATATGGCAGACATACAGTGGGTGATCAAATTGTTAGAGTCACCTGTAAGAAATTGACGGTTTTACATTACAACGATTAATTTTCAGATGAAAACCTGGTTATACCTACTGAATTCTTATTACCTTTTTACGAAGTATTGATGTTTACAAATTGCAAATATACTCTTGGTAACACTTTAGGCAATATCACTTGTCACAATGGACGTTATTTTGCACGAGCACTGCAAATCGCCACTTGAGAACCACGTGTTACAGTTTTGTTGAATTTTCGTTGCAGTGTTTTTACTACTTATAATTGCAGCCAAAGGCAGCGCTACCAAATACTCACTCTATTCTTACTTCTTAACTGTATTCTTTCTAACAACATAAGCCACGTTTACCCGTTTCATGTATCTCTAGTGAGCAAACGTTAATTAAAAAACTACCCGGTGTGAAAACCTCGATACTGTGATTGTATTTCTACGCAAACACGAAAAACATATTTTTCCTATTAGCAGCTCTAATAACTCGATCATCCACTGTACAAAACGGTGGTGTCAAAAAGAACAGCATTAGAGATCCCCTACAAATCGACCAAACGGAAATAACTGAATACTTTCCATTCGAAAAGTAGTCGAATATCATGGAAAAATAATGTTCCTCGAGCACTCTTCATCCAAGAACCGAAAGGTTCCCCGCGGAAATTCCATCGAAGCCAGGAATTCGTGCACCGAGAATTCAAGAAGAATCCAGCGGAATATCCACGAGTTCGCGCATATCAGCGGAGAACGGGTGAATCAATCGGCTATCTCAACGTGCAGGTGAACTAAAATCGTGGAACAACGAAAGGTGGCTCGATTCCTCGGATCCACACCTTCTAGGAAAAAACCGGGACTGTGAAACGGGAAGAAAGGGAACGATGCGGAGCATCAATCGCATGCGCGCGTCTACCAAGCCCGAGGGACAAACTGGCAGGAAAGAGAAAAGGAAGCAAAGAGAGTTGGCCTGGGTGCAGGAGGGAAGAGATCTGGTCCATTCAACGGGCAGCAGGTACGATTTCCAATCGACGACCGCTTCTTCGAAACGGGTGCCCCTTCTGCTGGGATACTGAACGGCGAGGCGGCACGGCGGACCACATCTCGGAATACTGGTTCTACCCGTGGCTCCATTCAAGTGTTCTTACATCGCTGGCATCCCTCACAATTGCTCGCCAAGAAACTCCTTGATATTCCCCTGCCGCGCCGATCCAGTTTCTTCGATAATGCCCGGCTGGATGATGCTAGTTTCAGGCTTAGCACTGGCGAAACCGATTCGGATGAAGTAAATTCGGCGATGCCTAACCTTGGAATAGAGAAATAAATCGCGTGGTATTTTGAGTATTTTTTTTTTTTTTTTTTTTTTTTTTTTTTTTTTTTTTTTTTTTTTTTTTTTTTTTTTGGAAAGTTTGCTTTCCTTGGTGCTGGGAGATGTATTGGACCGTCGCATAAGTAAGGACTAGAATGCGAATTTTTATGCAAATTTATAGTTTTGGGGATGTAGCGAATAGAGTAGAACTTCGGTGGAAAGTTGTTTTGGATATTTTTCACCTTTAAATTTCCTCTAAATAAATCAAAATCCAAAGTCTAGTAATGACGCTTCTAATCTTGGTTAGATTTGTTCTTTTCCTTTTTTGTTCATTTTCTCTGGGTTTAATTTTTAATCTCTAAAAGTACACTACCGGCCAAAAGTTCGGAATCGTCTGCCAACTGAATCTGCAATTAATTCTTTACAGATTTGAAATTGATTTTATGGGGATTAATAGCAGTTTACCTTGTTTCGATGGGTTTAAATGATAAAAAATTCGTCGAAAATTCTTAAAATTGCTAAGTTTGCAATGCATAGCGAGCCCAAAACATTTGGCCGCAAGGGTACAATAAAGTGCAGCGTGTTTGAAGATGTAGACCATGGAAGTACATTTCCCTTGGTCCATACCATGTTACTGAATGATTAGATTCCATTGGGCATTGCCACCCATTTCATTCACTAGCAAACTTTTTGAAACTTCTAAACTTCCAAAATACGGATCACCTGAATGGTGATTTCTTCGTTACTGTCAAACTTGACTGCACAAAAAAAAATAAATCTGACGAGGCAAGATCTGGACTATATGGCGAATGTGATAGTGATAGTAATTTTTCCTAACCTTCTAATTCCAATTTTCTGTATGTATGCTGAAATTGTTGTCAAACAGCTATTTGAAATTGATGCCAAGGTTGCAAACTTGTGATTTACAAGGTATCGCACTTTTTACTTTTAGATATTTTTTGAAGTAGAGCTCTTTACCTTTACTTACTGAATGACCCTCGTCGATCGGTAAAGCTAATCGTTTCCAAGAAATCATTTAGATTGGATGAAATGCACCCATGGCATGGCCTTCACGATTTCTTCACTTCGGTCCTTCGTACTGCGTCTGCACTGGCTTGCGAGCTGTTCTCAAATAGCAGAAGTATCGTGCCCGCGCTAGAGCTCGCGAACAGCTCGCGAAAAGGGAGGGTCAATGCTGGCAGAGAAAAATTTTCAAAAAAAGTAGCGTTTCCGGTGGAATGAGTTTAATAAACAATTTATTAAAAAACGAAATAGGAAGGACAAGCTTCTTAGCTTGGAAGCAAAGTGATCGTTAACCCTTTCGCGACGGATGGAACTAGGCATCAGTAGCATTAGTGCACACCATGAGTGTCTCGCGTTTTTGGAGCTCCCACTGTGTCCGTGTAAAATCTTAGAGGATTTCGTTGGAACAGCAGAGGACTTAAGGATGTGTTGGATAAGGGGAATGTTCTGTATTTTAAAATAAATCCAGTAATAAATCTTCACTCTGAGTTGTTGAAGCGACGCGCTTAGTGGATGCCGGATATAACCGGCGCTAGCCGCGAAAGGGTTAAATTTGTTGAGACCGTAACAACACGTCCAGATACTTTCTGAGCTAGCGAACAGGTCCTTTAATCCTCTGCACTCCGAATTTTTTTCTTCAGTTTCTTTCCAATAACTCCGCATTGTTTTAAGTGTTTTATTTAAAACGTACTTCAAAAGGACAATTAGTTGATAAGAAACAATGTAAACAATTGCTTCATTACACGTATATGACGCTTTTCTGTAACAATTGGATTTTTTTTTTACAAAAGAGTGTTATACGTGTAACGTTGCTTATCTAAGTATAAAAAAATATTGCGAAATATAATACATATTCAAACTCAGGGCTGTAGTGGAAGGTATACGGCGTATACCCTGTGCTTATTGAAAATTTAAGAAATTTTGAGACATTAAATTTTTGGATATTCACATAAATATTTTAAATTGTTTCAATTTGCTTCTAAAACGATAATTTTTTACTAAATACCCGGCTAAAACATTTTATTTTATTATTTTTTCTTTTTTTATTTAAGCAATATTTAAAATTTCAATTTAAAAAATTTTGAGACATTAAATTTTTGGATATTCACATAAATATTTTAAATTGTTTCAATTTGCTTCTAAAACGATAATTTTTTACTAAATACCCGGCTAAAACATTTTATTTTATTATTTTTTCGTACGTAACATAAGCAATATTTAAAATTTCATTCAACAAATAATACAATGCATGGATTTCTATAACTATACGTAGTTCAAACAAAAACATATTTTTATATAGCTTTAAAAATCTTTAAAAATTTTTATTCCATATACCGTATAAGGTAAAGGTACCAGTAGTTGACCAGTTAAGAGAAATCCTCCACACGAACAATAGTAACCACTTGCTCTGTGATTAAATAGCGAGAGTCGATGCCTGAAGATACTCTTTAAGCCTTCTAGATGATGTAACAAGACCAATTTTTTAAAAAAGTTATGTTATAAAAATTTTAAAAACGTATTTAAAAATTCAGTTATTGCTTCAGAAGTTGACCACTCTTAAAAATGAAAACACTACTGTTCGTTAGTAGTTGACCACTTATACTAGAAGGGTTAAAGCAATAATT